TAGCTGGTCGCTCTCTGTGTGTGCACATGCACAGAGAGGAGGATGAGAAGATGGGGTGTTCAGGTAGTAGGAAATGGAGGTGTGGTACCACGTCAAGGTTGTCTTGTTGATTCTTGCAGGTTACTGTAGCCTTCTGTTACATTTTATTCTGTATAAACTGTTCTGGTTGTTTCTAAGTAATAGCTGGGTATAGTAATGTGAAAACATTGTATTGGGTGGTATGTCTTTCCCTCAATTAGTCCTATTCTCAATATCAAATCATAGCATACCAACCAACAAACAAACAAACCCAACTCATTGCTGTTGAGTCGATTCTGACTCATAGCAGGCCTACAGGACAGAGTAGAACTGCCCCATGGGGTTTCTAAGGAGCAGCTGGTAGATTCGAACTGCTGACCTTTTGGTTAGCAGCCGAGCTCTTATCCACTGTGCCACCAGGGCTCCAGTCAGAGCATAAGTGGTTAAAAACCCCTGGGATAACATTTAGAAAAATACACTTATAGCTAAATGCTTGCTGATGAGATATATGCAGCAGTCTACACTTGGGGATTTATGACATTAGTGAAACTTCTTTTCCTCGTGGTTATCGTGTAAGGGCTTGCTTTTGTCTTCAGATTGTCGTCCATTAAAAAAATTTTAAGCTGATAATAAATCCTTCTTGTTCTTGGCAAAGTCACTAGTGAATTTTTTCTGTCTAAGCCATATATCTAGATGAATGAAAATAGAAGAGGCATCTTTCTGTTTTTGACACTGTTGAACATCTGTTATTCCTTTAGAGCCTGTGTCAAGGAGCACTGTGCTCTACTGGTTCTCTGCTTATCTTTGTCACTGGTTCTTTTTCTCTTACTTGTTACTGTTGTTGTTGGCTTCTCTTTTTTCTTCTACCCAAGAAGTTGTTTTGTTTTCTGATCCCCTCCTACTTGTAATATCTTGCAAAGTTTACTATCCGCATTTTGTCGAACATGTGCCTGTACCATTCCTAGGTCCTCAGCTTTGACCTAGGAGTCTTAAAATCACTTTTAAATCCTCTGACAAATACTTCTTTAGGTTCTACAGATTCTTCCATTTTTACTCAACATTTCTTAAAACTACTTTCTGAATCAGCTAGTCTTCTCAAGCATGTATTTTTTATTGTCAGTTTTAGCCAATTATTGCTCCCAGTTGCGTTTTATATAAAACTTACAATTCCATTACCACTAGCTTTAAGATCATTCATGAACCTTCCTTTTACCCACTCTTTTAGCATGATACATTTCAACTCTAAATCTCAGCAGCAGCAAAACTCATTTTGTTACAAATACTTGTTCCCAATTTGCATATTATCATCTTAAAATATTTATA